ATAAAAAAAAAATAAAAATAAATTTTTTTTTTTTTTTTTTTTTTTTTGCAGAAAGCAACCGTACGTGACAGTAAAGCATGTACAGCTAAATTTTCTATTACCCAAAATGGGAATTACTGTTTTTCTGCACAAGGTATATCAAACTATTTTATTGGGATGACCATGGTAAAATCCGAGGAGAAATGTATTGATGTTGGAGAAGGTAGGTTATGTTTGTGTTTTACAGGTGTTAAACTAGCCTTTTGGGCATGTGAATTGTATTTTCTTTACTATAGCATTCTGAAATGCATTAATAATTGCCTCTCGTTCACTCAGGGCCCATTCACACCACTTGTGTTGCGGTGCCATTCATTGTGAAGGGCACTCCAAAGCACCTCCAAAACACGTGTGCTGCCTAATGCAGCAAAAAAATGCAAACAATAAAACTGTTGTGGTGAGAATGAACTCTTAGTTTCCATTTCACTCCAGCTTTAGCCTTTGTACACAAGATTAAAATACAATATAACGGTGACTGGTCTCCCATAAATCTCTGTGTAGCTATTCACTATTCAGTGGTATTTCCATTTGCTTCATTGGGCAGTGAAGACTGGTACCATATAAGAAAATTCACTTTTGGAACTGTTGATCATGTCAAAGGTTTTAAGGTGCTTTTGGTTATACCAAAACATTTAAAATAGATCTAAACCTGGATGACATTTGGATTTATTTGCTAAAGCAATTTATGTTATGGCTTTTGCCCTTAAAATACTGTTTCATTTTTTTCATCCTCTTTGACTCTCAGTGCTGCTAATCTTCTCTAGCCTCTTTCTGACTTCTGTCTATATGCATGAACTTTATGTTCGGGTTTAAATCATTTCCAGATAGTGACAGTAGTGCAACTAAATAATTATCCTTGCTTCCTCTTGGTTTTTGGGATTCTGTATGTCTGATCTCTGTTACATACAATGCACTTACATGCAGCAGTCTCTCTCCATTTGCATAATGCTTTGTTTCGAAACCTACCATCAGCAGCCAAGAAAGGACTTTTAATACAGTTATTGCTACAGATATCCACATTACAATGCTTTAGGGGCCTGTTCACACAGTTATTAGCTTCTAAACACTAAAGAGCTGAAGAACTGTTAATCTGAAGCAGCTTTCTAAGGACACCCTTTAAGAGTATTTATTCTGTAAGTGAATCTCAATTCCCATTGGCTGTCCAATACATTCAAGCATCATCCATGTGCATGGTTCATTAACAATGTAATCTGATAGACACATATAGAAAAAAAGCGGGTGCTATTCCAATTATACACAAACTCCGGCATTATTTTTTTTAAAAAGAGTTTGGCTTTAACACACAGTGCAGGATCATCATCGCAGCAAAGTTTGTGCTGCTAAACATTAGCATATCAGGAAAAACGAAACGTTGTAGACTCATATGCGAAGTGACATTTGATGCCTACATATCTAAATTTCTGCAACCTACAGAAGCTCTCAAGAAGTATGAAGTCAGCAGTCTTGAAAAAGCTGAGAAAAAAGGTAATTTTAAAATTTGATTTCCTTATTCTTTCTTTTTATTCTAGAGACTCATCCACAGACTGTCGGAATCATAATTGGGGTTATTGTTGGTTTTCTTGCAATTTGTGCCATTTCTTGCTATATTATTACGAGATGGACTAAAGCCAGGACTCTGATGCCACAGTCATTAGTAAGTTATGAGAAATGGTGTTATATACTCCAACAGTGGACATGTCCCAGTATTTTTTACTATTTGATTTAAAGACCAAAATATACTGCTGTTTAGAAAAACTTGAATTCTTATAAGCTTTGTAAGCTTTTCTTTGCCAATGTAGGACAACGCAAGGGGTTCACTTTGAAGAGACACTTTCATCTTGCCTGTGCAGGGCAGAATGACTGCGCCTCTGCAGAGCCCCCTCCGACTCCCATATACTCACTGCCTAAGTTTACTTATCCTACTTTACTCCTTCACAGCTGGAAATAGAATCATCGGTGTCGGTGTCTAGGGGGAGTGGTGATGTCACTCAGTCATATGACAATGCTTGGGCCTAGAAATTGGCAGCTAGAACTGAGCTCTGTCACAGGGTTAGAGGTCCTATGCTCCTCCATACCTTTTACGATTTGGACCAAATGTATAATGCATGATCCTGGGTTAGTCCCCACAGATCCATTATTGTTCCAAAAGCTGAAGCTCTTTCCCATTGCCAAAACACTACTGCGTACACAGCTTAGCTGATTCCCTGCGCCAAGGTTCTCATTTGGGGTTTGTTTCCTCAATCTTTTTATTTCTATTTTAAAAGGAAAATATCAGGGGTCTGTTTTAGACCCCTAATATTTCCCCAAAGACCCTAAAAGTAAAGTAAAAAAAATGGAATAAATATAAAATTAAAAAGTTTATAAAAAATAAAATATTTTGAAAAATGTTATAAAAATTAAAATAAAAACATTGTTTCTGTTTTGTTTCGATATTTCCATTTCGGTGCACCTCTATCTTAAACCATGTCCGTATTCTTGGATTCCTTTAACCACTTTCGGGCCGCAATACGTGTGTAAAATTTTTTATATATATATA